GGCTATCCATAGGCCTATCCTAGGCCTATGCCTAGGCTAGCCATAGGCCTATCCTAGGCCTATGCCTAGGCTAGCCATAGGCCTATCCTAGGCCTATGCCTAGCGCTATCCATGGGGCTGTCCTCGGCTAATGCCTCGCCTGTCACCATAGGGGCGTCCTAGCCTCGTAGCCTTTTTCCTCCTGGCCCTCTCCTCCCTGTCCGTTGCTTTCCTCTCTCTGCCCCCTCCACCTGCCTCCCCCTCTCCCCTTCCTGCCGGATGCGCCCCGGCAGGATCTGGCACGCAACGACTGACCCCGAATACCAGCGATCAAGCAAGGGCACCGGCGCTACGAAAAGGGAGGGAGGGAGAGAAAGCAGCAAACCAGCACCGCCGTGAGGGGCGCGTGAAACGTCGACGATTCGTGCGCCCCTCCAAATTGGAGTGGCCGTGGGCACAGAAGCTAGCCTACCTCTATCTTTCTGCCGCGCCTAGTACCTTTCCCGGAAATGATCAATCCGGCTCTTTCGGGTGGCCAAAGTCCCCGTGACCGCTCCGTCCCTTCCCTGCCCCGTCCGTTCGGCTTCCTTTGTCCGAATGCCCTGCAGGATTTGCGGCCAGGAGACTGGAAGCCGGCGCCGGTCCCGCGCAGGATGTGGCCCGGCATGACCTGGCGGGCAACGACTGGCTGCGAACACCGGCGATCACGCTCGAGCGGCGCAACGTCACAATAAAGCGGAGCGTTCCTTTTACGCTGACGGCCGCCACCACTCACAACGCAGCGACGTCGGGCCAATCACCGGCCGCCGCACTGATGGGAAAGACAAGAGCTCCCTCACAGTTCTCCACCGCGAAGACGAGCACGAGCGTCGTCTCCCCGTAGTGACCGCTGCGCCATGGTCTCGCCGGCGACGCTGTCCGTGTTCACGGCCAGCCACTGGAGGAGGAAGACCTCCGAATCACCTCGGAAGATCGGGCAGCCGGGCGGTGTACGGGGGCGGCGCGCGAGGTTGGTGGATTCGGTGCAGCAGAGTTGCCGGGCAACGTGCGGACCACATTCCGGCGTGGATGCAAGCCGCGCCGTGCCGCGACGGGATGCGCGAAGTCGCCCGAGTGATGCCCTCCAAAGTGCGGCAACGGCACGTGCACGCCGCGGAAGGGTGGGCAGCGGAGGCCTTCCCGCAAAACGGGCATGAGCGCCGTGAGGACCCGTTCGCGGAGGTCGACACAGCGCCGCAGGAGCTCGTGCGTGGTCAACTGCCCAGGGCCGGCGCAGCGAGCGACGGCTGCGAGCCGTAGCACGCAGGGAAGGGGACAGAGCGGTAGCAATGCAAGCAGCAAGATCTCGTCAGACAGCTGGAGAGGTTGCATGGCAGCGGAAGGCCGAAACACAAAAGGGGCGGGCAGCGCAGTTTCGAGCCGGAGACTTGGTGGTGGCAGACAATATCCATTGCGGTCAGACCTGAACGTGAACGGACGCGATAGGGAGGCGCGCAGATCCAGCTGTTTTCATCTGGCCAGAAGGTCTGCAATCTAACGTCGATGCAGGACGCCAGCACGCCACCTCGGGCGAGGCGGCGGCGCGGGCGCTTGGAACCGTCCACGCACTTCGCACGTCTTCTCCCCGTCCACGATACGAAGCAACCACGGCATCTGGAAGAGCAAAATGCGATCACCGGCGACGGGAGCGGCGCTTGGCGCTGCCGGGCATTGCTGCACCGGCGGCATGGCCACCCACCGCGGCCCAGAGAGCGCACGAAAAGCTGCGAACACGGCTGCGGACGGAGGGGTTGTAAAACAAGACAGTGTGAGCGTGCAAGCCAAGCGCAGGATGCCAACGCCCCCGACCCCTCAATCGGTTTTCTCGCGCAGCTTCGCGACTGCTGCGACTTGGTGCCCCCCTTCAGAAGGTCAACCCGAAGATGTAGAGGTACCAAAGGGGCGCCGGCAAGTCAACGCGCCACACTTCCAACTGCAGCCACGCCTGCCACAGCCGGAGGGTTGTAGAACTCTCTGATCCACGATGCACGGCATCAATGAAAGCTCCGGCCCGGACCCAAACAATAGAGGAGAAGTCGTCCAGATGCGGATCCCGCTGGAGGAGCGCCCGTAAGGTTTCGAGAGTCTCCCGGGAAACGCGGTAATCGAAGACCCCGGCCAGGAAGGCGTGCAGGATGACAAAGAAGGGCAGCACTCTGGGGATGTCTTCGTCCTCGGAATCCTCGACATCCGCCCACCGGACGCCGGGGCGGAGCATGGCAGAGTGAGTGGAGGAGAACGCGAGGGCAAAGACGGCCGGAGAATGGCTGCGTCCAGAAAAGCGAACTGAAGGGTCTGCAGGAAAGACGCATGCAAAACGGTCGCTGCTTCAACCGTTTGGGCGCAGCAGCTGTCACCACCTGACAGGCGGGCAGGGGGTGCGTCAGCAACGCGTGGGAGGTGACTGACAGCTTCTTGCTCGCAGGTCTGGGTCTAGAGGCGGACGTCACCTTGCAAGGAGCAGCGTGCCGCGGCGGCCGTAGGAGCGCGCCGGCGGCCAAACGCTGCAACTTGGAGACTGTACAAAGAAGATAGCCGCCGCGAACGGTCCACGCGTTGATGCACGTCCGGGAAGAATGGAGGATTGAAATAGATGTCAGCTATACAGAGAAAACATAGAGCACCCCGGCCACAACGATGCACGCGACTAGCAAAGTCGGGTCGCGTTGCGTCGCCGTCGCCAAAAAGGGCGCCAGTGCAAAAAAATCAAAACAGAAAGGCTCGAAAGAACGAAGCGCAAGGCAGGACTAAGGCGGCTTCTACCCCAGGGTTTTTGAAACCTCCACAGGGGCCACACGGCGGCGCTGGGCTGGCTGCTCCACGGGCGCGCGTGCGGGGGGGCACCTGGCCATTCTTCACAGGCAAGATCAAGCCATTGCAGCCAAATATCGTGCATCTCCCACGGCAACCCAGCATCGTTGGGCAAGCGTGCCAGTTCCTGCGCGAGCGAATGCACGGAGATCACAGCTGAAAATGCCGGAGTTTGCCTTTCTGGCACTTTCGTAGGTCGTCTTCTTCGACCGGACTTATAGGCCAGGGAAACATAGGAAAAGCAAGGCGCCGGGGGGCGTTCAGGAAACAAACGGACGAAAGAAAGGCAGGGTCCTCGTCCGAGAAGCGGCCGCCATGCAGCAGCTCCCGCAGCCGCGCCAAAATGTCGCTCTCCTCGGCCTCCACGCGCTGATCCAGGAACATGTAGGCCTCCAGGTGCGTCGGTGTCTGCGCGCGACGCGCTACCATGCAGAAGATGTTCCGCAAGTTGTTGAGCGCCAACTGGTCCGTGCCACCAGTGAGGTGCAAGGTCCGCAGCACACCTTCGTCCGCACTCTCGGCAGGTGTGAGTGCAACCTCGCCTACGCTGGCCGCTGCGTTCGCGGACGCAGGAACAACGCCAGAGGCCGGATCCAGCAGGGTCGGCAAAGGTGAGGAGCACACAGTCGGTGTTCCAGGTGCCTTGCTGATGACAGGCAGCAGCGGGGCCGCAGCCATGGCAGGAGCGGGATGCGGTGCGACATGCGTGACAGGAGGCCGAGGCCGCAGGCGTGGCCGGAGCAGGCAAGGTGGACCGGTCACTCTTGACGGACCCATGCTTGGTGCAGGAACGCGCCACCGCATCCGGAGAAAGCTGGAGATGGGTCTGCAAGAGGGCGACGGTGTGGGAATCTGAAAGCTCCAGCACAGTCGGCTTCACACATCGCTGCCCATCAGACGCCTGCAGCACACTCCCCAGTCCCATGCGTGCCAAGCCCGCCGCGACGTGTTGGAGCCACCACTCGGAGCGCGTGGCATTGGAATGCCCCTGCGCTTTGCTCCACCCCCGATGCAACTGGGCCTGGCCCAGGTCAGCCTGGTTTAGCTTCCGGGCAAACATCCCCTTGCTCACAAAATGCGCATCCGGGCCATGTGAGGGCTTCCCGCATTAAGCCCAGGATCGCTGCATTGCGCTGGCGCGCCGCCTCCTCAACGGGGTCCAGCTGCACCTGCTCCTCGGAAAGCATGTGTACAAAGGCCGGGCCCAGCGCTTGGCAGAACAAGGTCGCATCCACCTCGCCGTCTGCTTGTGGCCGCGGTGGCGGAAGAGAGGCGGCGTCGACCCCTGCAAGAGACCGGCCAGACGAAGAGACACGGGGAAGGAACCGAACGAAAGGCGCGCGAAACGTCCACGTTTGGGCTCTCCCTCCGACGCACAGCAGCGCCGGGCACAGCCGAGACACCACGAAAGCCAACCGCAAAACCACCAAGGACAGATGCCAGGGTCAGTGCAGCTTGATCCACGATCTCGGCCGTGATGCGCGTGTTGTCGATGGTCGCATCGTCCGGGACCAAGACGAGGAGCGCGCGCAAAGAGAGACTTCCAGCACATCGTAACGCGTGATGCCGTTGGACCTGGCGCAGCTCAGCGGCTAATTGATCGTCAACATACTGCGCGTACCCCGCAAGCCGCCAATTCCAGGCATCGAAGCACCGGAATTTCTTGAGGCCGGAATCCGTGAAGCGCAACTCCGGGTTGGGGAGGCCGTGGACGAAGTGGTAGCACCGCTTCATCCCCTCTGGACGCAGTCCCCGCGCCGTGGGAGAAGGTCACGGCGAAAGCCAGCCCGATCTTCGAAAGTTCTCCATTCTCCTGAAGGACCTCAGTTGGGAGCTGCACATGGGCGGGTGGCAAGGCATATGGGTTCATCACCGGCGCGGTAAAGAAGAGATACTGCTCCCGGGTCGCCAAGCTGGCGGCGATGACGTCATCGTCGCGCAGGATGCGATCCGCATCCCGTGCGTTGATGCCACTGATCTGTAGTAGCTGGACCTTGTGTGGCTTCGTACCGTCGCGAGTCTGACGATACAGAGCAAAAAGGTCCTTGCCGTAGCCGCGCTCTTGGTCGCGAAAAATTTTGCTGGGGCGACCTTTGTCCATGAGGACGTTGAGGTCGCTCTGACGAGCTTTGGTTCGCTGGCCTCCCCGCGTATAAGCCCATGTCCTCAAAGAACCCTGCAATCTCGTCATGTCCGTGAAGAAGGCCATGGTAGACGCGGGTAACCTTGTCGGCAGCGCATTGGGCAAAGAGTTCCTCGGGCGTGGCGCCCGGAATGAACGTGAGGGTCAGGGGCGCCTCAGTGCGGTCAAGCTGTCCGTCAACGTGGCCCTGCAGACTGGCATGATTGAGCCACAGCTCAAAGGGGATCGCATTCTCTTCAATGATCGTGTTGAGGCCCGACTTATTGGTCTTTTTAAAGTGGGCGAACCTCAGGACCCGGCACGCCAGGGGAACGAAAGGACGAAACAACGGAAACACGGACAGACTGAGCTGCCCACACCAAGCCGTGTGACGTGGTCATTGACCGCTGCCGGATCTTGACCATCACGGCATTCATGGCATGCAGACCGAGGGTCTCATGCGCCAACGTTGTTGGCAAACAGTGCAGGGTGTTGAACAGGGCCTCGTATACTCCATGGCCTGTGCGACCTGGAGGAGTCTAGCGGGGGTGACCTCCACACAGCGACACGCAGGTGTGCACTGGTGGGAATGCCTCGGTCGTGCGCCGCGGACCCGCCTCAGGACCCAGGAAAAGTGTGCTGTCCCAAGAGGTCCGCGCGAAGTCAGCGCTGGCCTCCATTTTCTTCTGAATCGGGGTTTGGGCGGCCATGGTGCAGAGTGCAAACCGAATGAGAGGGGAGTCGCGTGAATGCAAACAGATGGCTGCAGAAACACAGGAAGAAAAACAGAGGCATGGAATCGCCCGAAAGAGACCGGAAATCCGGTATACTGTCGGTCTGCGGGGGCCAGATTGAATTAGAGAGTCACAGCCGAATTACGCGTCTGTGCCGTCTGAACTGTCCCTGATCGCAGCCAGCAGCACCTCACGCATGCTCTCGTCGACGCGCCACCTGCTGCAGGGGGGAACCAGCGAAGCAACACCGAGACGCGGTCGCGCGAATCGACGCGTGCTGGTGCCTGCCAGTTTCGCTCGTTCAACGCCCGCAGCAAAAGCACTTCGAATGTGGCGGGGCTGCAGTACCGCAAGGAGCGGTCAAGACGGCTCAGATCCAGCCATTGCCGCTCTTTGAGGGAGGTGTCCACTGTCACTGGCCTGCGTGCATTGCAGAGGCAGCGCCCCGCGCCCGCGCCCCAACCCCAGGCCGACGCCGCGCCTGTGCAACAAAATCTGCAGCGGAAATTGGGTCACGGCGGCCAAGTGGGATCGCAAAAAGTTCTGTGGGAAACCGCCGACAATGGCACCGGTGGTAGGAGAAGCGACGCCCACAACCTGGAAGCCAGCGTCCACATCCCAGCCAGACCCACGAAGAGGTTGTTGCAGTTCCACGGACAAGCGTCGTAACGCCTCCACCACCCGCGTGCGGCCACCTTCGGATCGCACGCGCGGTTCGCGGAGCACGCGACCTGCGGGTTGAGGGCTGAGAAAGGTCAGGACCAAAGGTAGAGAGTACGTCAGCAGCGCGCGCAAACGCACGGTTGGCCGCGCGGACCCCCAGATGCACCCGGACCAGGAATGCAGTTCCCAGCGCTGGCGGCCATGAACCAAGCTAGCCACAAGCCCCTGCAAAGTCGCCGAAGAAAAAATGTTTGCTCTTCCCAGTCGTACATGACCTTCTAGCGATCCGGGCTGTAGGTTGACCAGCACTGTGGGCGGCGATGCCCACGCGCGTGCCAACGATCCACATACCCTGCAAGCGCGCAGCAGCCACGCTCCCATAGGACCCAAATGCGGCGCCAAATGGCACACCAGTCATCGTATAGCCAATGGTGTGCAGGGCTGGATTGATTCGCAGCAGGTGCTCCACGTATAGGCTGCTACCTGCGGCAAAAATTCAGCCACATGGAAGCGCTGGGGAGGCATGACAATGCCACAGCCGAAGGTCGCACAAAGGATGCCGCCACGCTGGTAGGCGCGGACGCTGCGGGCTTTGCAGGTGTTGCAGTCATCCGCCTCTGGCGCCCACACTTGTGCAGGCGGAATCCGCGCTGCACGCGGCTGCCACCAAGATGTGTGTGTATTCCTCCGGACAAAAATACGACAACGAACAAAAGGCGACGAAAGAAAGCCGCACCTCTGCCGCCGGCGGTCGCGCAAGCGGGCAGCATGAACCTGCAGCAAATGCTCCTCCTGCGCACGATGCTCTGCAATGCCGCAGGTGATGTGCCCGCGGCGCGGGGCCCGCAAACAGAAGGCGGTGCGCCCATCGAGACCGCGTTCGGCGAAGCAGCGCCCATGCGGGACGAGCTTCTCATTAAATCCAGCGGAATGCTAGAGGCGCAAGCAGGACCACACCAGGCAGGATGCGTAGTCACCCAACGGTCCTCGAACGCTTGCCGCAGCACGGGGAACAGCTGCTGGCAAGCGAGCTGTAGCGCCAGGCTGCGATCCACGGCGCGGCCACTGAGCCGCAGCCGCACGGCCGAAGGAGCTCCAAAGAAGCCAGCCATCCAAGCCGTATCCAGCAGTGATTCCACCACCGCAAAATGGAGATACACCGCGAAGAAAGGCGAGCGCCGCACTGCAGATCCACCCCCGCCGAACACGGCGTTAGGAAATCGTGCCCGCTGATACCCCCAATGAGAAACAAGCCATCAAACCGCTCGAGCAAGTTCCGATGGAGCCAAACGCTTTGCGTCAATGGATACAGCAGCGGGCGCGGCGCCGCAACGTCACCCGGCAGCACACGATCCCAACCACGCGCATCACGGCAAAACCATGGATACACTTGCATGCCGAAAAAAAAAGCAGCGTAAGGCCCGCAGCTGCATCGCCGTGGTTTCATTCATGTAGGTGCGCGACTTCGATTTGCTGTACCGGCTGTGGCCGCAACTCCGCCGCACAGGAAGGGCAAACGTCCAAGTTAGACGCCCACAAGGCATCCGCTTCCATGGCAGCACGGCGCGCGAAGCCGCAAACGTAGGAGCCAAAAGCCGCTAGAAGGATGCGTTGCGCGCCAGGTCATGCCGGGCCACATCCTGCGCGGGACCGGCGCCGGCTTCCAGTCTCCTGCCCGCTAAATCCTGCAGGGCATTCATAGTTCTGGCGCCTGCGCGGAAGTCCACGCGAAAGTGTCGGAGAGAGGGAGACGAACGGACGGGGCAGGGAAGGGACGGAACTTTGGCCACCCGAAAGAGCCGGATTGATCATTTCCGGGAAAGGTAGTAGGCGCGGCAGAAAGATAGAGGTAGGCTAGCTTCTGTGCCTACGGCCACTCCAATTTGGGGCGCACGAATCGTCGACGTTTCGCGCGCCCCTCACCGAGGTGCTGCTCTGCTGCTTTCCTCCCCCCGTCTGTCCCTTTTCGTGGTGCCCATGCCCTTGCGTGATGGGGCAGGAACGCGCAGGACAGGCAGCGACAGGGCGGAAGAGGAAGGAAGGGGGAGGGTGAGGGAGACAGGCGAAAGGGAGCGGGAGGAAGACAGAGGTCGGCGAGCTCTACTGTGCCTACGGCCACTCCACTTTCGGGGGGCGCTCGAATCGTCGACGTTTCACGCGCCCCTCACGGCGGTGCTGCTCTGCTGCTTTCTCTCCCTCCCTCCCTTTTCGTAGCGCCGGTGCCCTTGCTTGATCGCTGGTATTCGGGGTCAGTCGTTGCGTGCCAGATCCTGCCGGGGCGCATCCGGCAGGAAGGGGAGAGGGGGAGGCAGGTGGAGGGGGGCAGAGAGAGGAAAGCGCCCCTATGGCGACAGGCGAGGCATTAGCCGAGGACAGCCCCTATGGCTAGCCTAGGCATAGGCCTAGGGCCTATGGCTAGCCTAGGCATAGGCCTAGGATAGGCCTATGGATAGCGCTAGGCATAGGCCTAGGATAGGCCTATGGATAGCCATGATAGCCTAGGCATAGGCCTAGGATAGGCCTATTAGGATAGGCCTAGGCATAGGCCTAGGATAGGCCTATGGATAGCGCTAGGGATAGGCCTAGGATAGGCCTATGGATAGCCTAGGCATAGGCCTAGGAT